CACGGACTTTTCTCGCTTAAAATGTCAGCTTAAGCGAAAAAAAAATGACACACTTTCTTTGTAACGATTTTCCAAGGTTTAGCCGACGAAGGAATGGGTAAATTAAGTAAACTTGTCGAGTTTTGAACTTGAAAACTTTTTCAAATTCGTGCTTGCGTGATTAGCTCGCGAAAAGCAAAACATCTTGACGCCACAACCATGTTTACATACTCTCATGCAAACACTCCTCTAAGCCAATCAGAGCGCGCGTACTATCTCAGCTGTGTAGCAGGTGCTTCGCAGGAGGGTGCGATGAAGAACAGGCGCGAGAGGAGATATGCGTGTATCTCTAAACAAGACATAGTCACCACATTAGCTGACCACATCGAAACAAACTCAATATGGCGGAAAATATGATGGTCGGTTTCATAGCAAAAAGGATGGCACCACCGAATCTCTTATGCCTGGAAATGTTGTTATAATGCTCATCTTTCAAATTAAAAGAATGATTTATTTCTTTAAACCTTGTCGTTTCTTTTTCCTTTTGTTTTTTTTTTTTGTTTTAGATAATGTCAAAAAATTGGGTCGGTCGGACGACGCTAAACGAAGAAATAAAAGGGGGATGCCCTTTTAATGTAGTTATTTGTCTCCCTCAGAGTATAAAAGTATAAGTTTACAAGGCCAGATCGAGTGAATACTGAGTAATTAAATGACATTGATAAAAAATCAACTAAAGGCTGAGACTCTATGAGGCGCTGCCTGACAAGAATGTTGAACAAGAAGTACTGCCGCTCATTTAAATACCTCGGTGGATCACATCCTGAACTCCCGCGAAAACCTCAAGAGAGGAGCGCTCAAGGCTAAGGAGACTAAAGCCCGAAAAGACAACAGGAGTCTTGAGAAACGTCCTTATCCTATTCTGTCCGGATTCGTACTTTCAAGGAAGCGCTGATCAAGAATCATACGTAACGAATAAAAACTTCTCGCAGCTTCCAGTGAAAGCATGCGAAGAGTGACAACAGTGGTAAGCGGTCGTTCTGTGAAATGTAACGCAATCTTTGTCGTTTGGATTTTTGCTGTTGTCCTGTTGTTGATTTGTTCTCGGTGTTCTCCCGTGTGGATACTCCACATTTCCAATATATGGGAACACCATGCTAAGGTACGAACAACAAACACTCACAACATTGTTTTGTACGCTGAAATCTGATTTCCTGGACGTATAAAGTTTTGAATTTTGAGACTTTTTTAATTAGTGCTTTGTCCTTTGACAACTGCACTTGGTAGGACTTGACAGCTCAATAAAGGTTTAATGTATAGGGAAAACCGTTTACATAAAAACCCATAAAAGGGCCATAAATCGGCCCGTGGACCACACAGGAGAGACGTAACACACATTTTAAGGGAGCATTCATAATTTACCTAGAGGATGGGCTATGATGATTTTGAGGGGGGGTCACTCTTTTTCCCTACTATGAGTTAAGGGGGGCTGTGGAAAATTTCCAACGAAAATTACATCGAGCATAAGGGGGGGCCAACCATTTTTTGGATTTGCTAGTTTCTAAATATAAAAAGACTCAAGATAGTTTGATGCTCTCCAAGTACATCTTGAAATATCACCATTTCATTAGTGCAAGTTGTTACTGATTTACTATGTTAATTACTAATAAAGCTCAATATACCTGTCACAAGGCTTTGATATGACTAAGGGTGAGTTTGACATGTTGTACTTATGTGCTGGGAAGGGGGGGGGGGCTATGATATTTTCCTTTGATAAATCAACTTCTCTTGAGGGGGGGTCAGAAAAAAACCCTGAGATTATCAGGGGGGGCTTCAAAAAAATGAAAGGAAAAAATAAGGAAATCATCATAGCCCACCCCCTGGATAAGTTATGAATGCTCCCTAAGTAAGGTAAGCTGTTTTTTTATTGAAATCCTTTCATTTCGTAGGTTATAGAAACGATAGGTTTTTTTTCCCATACAAATCCTTATATTCTGAATGTTACGCAACAATGCCGATGCTCATATTTCGAGCTTGGGCTACCTGTGATCTGATTACAGATTTTGATTTTGATTTTGCCGAAACATTACGAGACAAAATGCTTAAGACTCGCGACAAAAAAGCCCTATATCATCACCAGAAAACCCCTCTTTAATTCAATTCTACATGTGCTATATACAATGTATTTTTAGATAAGCTAGTCTTCCGAATGTTCACTTTCGTAGTCTGCAGTGTTGTGCACGAAGACACTTTGCAGGCCGGGGATCACTGTATACCATTCTTGCGACAAACGCACCTCATACTGCTACAGTCAGACCAACGGTTGTATCTATAATTAACTAAAGAAGAAATTCTGCGGCTGGTGGCAAGTCCGTTGCTATAGGAAATACTTGATAATCAATGACTTTCCATCCTCAGTTCTCCAATGACTTGCCAGTACCTTCTCCCTGCCACTGCTTTACCTGTAGGTAGACGAGCAGGCTGTGAAATCGGGCAGCTGCTGCTCTTGGGGGCAGATTCTGCGGCTCAATATGAGAAGTCTTGGTTGCAAGTTTTTCAAAGTAACGCTGATATCTGAGACCGTTAAGACAGATCAATGATATATTGTTCCTGTTAAGCTTCGATTTGGGCGAAATCTGGATTTTTTTGCGTTACTTTTATTGCCGTTGGCCGGAGGACGAAAAGATGGGAAGCGCTTTGAGGCCGATTGAAGGCTTATTTCTTCTGTTAGCTTCCATACAAGCTCAGATAATTGTGAAAGGAATACGCAGAAATGAAACAGAAACAATAAATACGGTAAGAAAGAAACCATTGAGACATTGATGTGACTGAGGAGATCTTGTGGAGGGGAGCTTCGTGAAGCAGAATGTTTAGCAACGACGCGGTAGTAAACTTTTAAATGAACCTCCCTACGGCCGAGAAAATCAAACAAACAGGCACTACATGTTTAGAAAAACTAGTTCCATGAAATCATAATATAATTTTTGACGAACCTTTGCGATGATTCATAGCGTGGACATTGCATTTTTATTTATGTCCTTCAAACGTTTGAGGCTAGAAAGCGAGCAAATCAGGCAGATATTACTGGACTTGGAACAATTGACCTCTGACACGAGAATCTGTTTTTAAAGCGAGCGGAAAGAGATTGTCGGGTCGCGAGGCGGCCCTGCTAACGATAAAATCGCGATGAGTTTTCGTGCCGCGAGCGAAATTTTAAATAAGACGAAAGACTTCTTCGAAAGTCTAAAATATTACTTGAGAATATAAAAAACAAATCTCCGTCGGCGGTGCGATCCGGAAGGAAATCTTGTGGAGTCAATATGACAGTTCTATTGTCTTTTAAAGAAAAAAACAGATGACGCTCGCGCGTGCGCATAATCGGGACAGTGTCCCTTTAAGCTGAAATATCACTGCTCGAAGCCAATCAAATCGCAGAAATTTCTCATATAATAGTATAATCTATAGAAAGTTACTTCTTGCTTAAGCTTAATTGTAATATATATATATTCCTATGCATAATTATTTGCATTCTACAAATAGGTCTTCTGTATAGTCTTCAATCATTATTACATGGAATCCTTATTGATCACTGAAGAACCCCAGATGGATATGCATTCAATAAAATGTATGTATTTGTGTCTGAAATATTATTGTATGTCACATGCCTCACACCTCCTACTCCGTTTCTGTCTCCCTCCCGTTAAACAATTGTGTATGGGACTCAACCCTTTAGACGTTCTTTTTATTCTTCCAGAATAGTTGTTCCTAACTTAAAATTCTACAAGAGAAACTACCTTATTTAAAAAATGCAAAGAAACCTAAAAACTGACGATTTCTTGTAAATACAAGACTGCAAACAGGGGTACCCAACGACTGTTTTCTGTAAAATATCTGTTCGGAGAAGCAAAATAGGTCATGAACGTTCCATTCATGTACAATTTTCGAAGCTTATCTAAAAAATTCCCTACGATTTTCTGAAGTACAATTTTTCATATTTTACTACCCAGGTTACACTATCTTTCTTAGAAAAAGGAAACCTGAAATTTTCCGATTCTAAAATGTGACGGAGAGAGGAATCAGAAAAACTCTCACTTTCGTAAAAAGTTAAATTACACCTAACATTTTCGGGAAAAAATACTGAAGCCTTTGTAATTTCGAAAAGACTTGCGTTTCCCTAGGATGACCGAACAGATAAAAATTTTGTAGCGCCACTTAGAACGCATTTCAAGAGATCTTAAAGTACTTTGGATAGCCTAAAAAGTGTTTTCAACGTATTTTGGAGGAAACCGTCGTTGGGTGCCCCTGTGCAGATAGACGTTCTATAGACTTAGGTTTAAACAAACGATATTCATGATCATTGACTTACTTCAACAAATTAACTGCTTTTAAGTGTCACTAGCTTTATTTTGCCGATCCGCGTAACCGATTGAAACCTTTCGTAAATGTGTATCCTAGGTAAGTCCATTTAACCGAAATAAAATGTTTCGTGGAATCAGCTTCGATAGCATCAGCTTGATTTACACTTTTAAATGACACCCGACCAGATCAGAGTCCTTACGTAAAAGCAAAAGCTTATTCAGTACGAAGAAAAACTTAAAGTTTTCTTAGCTATTTCTTAAGCCAAAGGCTTTTTTATTACAACGGTTCTAACTGGCTTCCTTGTTTTCTTTTTAAGATTAGCTCTATTTCGTGGGACTATTTGCTAATCATTCTGCTCTTGTTTTTTTTTTCTGTAAGTTTCAGAAAAGAGCCCCATTGTCGAGATTGAAGAAGCGATTTACCATGGCATTATTGCTGCAGATTTTCTCTGTAAAACTAAACGAGTTTTCCAGGCTATCGAGCTGTGGAACGAGTGCTTAATACTCCTAAGCAACAAAGCCTTACAAAACGAACATGAACGTGCTAGACAAGGAAGGATAGCGGTGTACACGAGGTTGTTTTATGGATATACTGCTATTACAAAACTTTCGCCAGCAATAGAATCTGGCAAAAAGCTTTTAGTCCTACTTCGTAATTGTCAGAGAAAAAAAGAAAAAAGTAAGACAGCCTTGAATTTATCAACACTGTACTACAAAACAAGTGAATACAAGAAAGCACAAGCAATCCTCGAAAGGGTACTCTGCGTTAACAAAGAAATCGAAGACAAAGACGTAGAGGCGTCATGCTACAGAAACCTAGGAGCTGTGTTTAAATCTGTCGGTCAATATGCCAAGGCTAAAGAATATCTTCATAAAGCGCTTACCACCAACACAGAAATTGGCAACAAAGACGGACAAGCGTCATGCTACATAAACCTAGGAATAGTGTTTGAACGTGTCGGAGAATATGCTAAGGCTGAAGAATATCTTCAAAAAGCACTTACCATCAAGACAGAAATTGGCGACAAACAGGCAGAAGCGTTATGCTGCGGAATCTTACGAATAATGTTTGAATATGTCGGAGAATATGCCAAGGCTGAAGAATATCTTCAAAAAGCACTTACCATCAACACAGAAATTGGCGACAAACACGGAGAAGCGTTATGTTACATAAACCTAGGAAAAGTGTTTAAATCTGTCGGAGAAAATGCCAAGGCTGAAGAATATCTTCATAAAGCACTTACCATCAACACAAAAATTGGCAACAAAGACGGAGAAGCGTTATGCTACATGAACCTAGGATCCGTGTTTGGATCTGCCGGAGAATACGCCAAGGCTGAAGAATATCTCCATAAAGGACTCACCATCAAGACGGAAGTTGGCAACAAAGACGAAGAAGCGTCATGCTACATGAACCTAGGCTTGGTGTTTGAATCTGCCGGAGAATATGCCAAGGCTGAAGAATATCTTCTTAAAGCACTTACCATGAAGACAAAAATCGGCGACAAAGACGGAAAAGCGTCATGCTACAAAAATTTAGGACATCTAGTATTTAAAGTTGGCGAATGGGCGAAGGCTCAAAAATATTTTGAGAATGCTCTTCAAATTATCAGGGGGACTGGAAACATCGAAATGCAATTTAGAACTTTCCTTTTTCTACATAAATGTTCTTTAAAAATAACAGGGAACACATCTGAAGCCTTATCGAATCTCAGGACAAGCATTCAAATTTGCGAAAAAATGCTTCTTTCCTTAGGAAGTAAAGATCGCCGCAAGATATTATTTTTTGACGAACACGCGTCTCCCTATCGGCTGTTTTGTTCATTGAGTTGTTCTTGTGGGAAACCCTATGAAGCCTTACACGTTGCTGAACTTGGACGGGCCAGAGCTCTAGCAGAACTTATGTCAAATCGGTACTCGATTAAAAAAGAAATATCCCTCAACATACAGTCGTTTGTTGACATCGAGGAAGTAATTACGAAAAATGGCAACAGCACCTGCCTATACATCTCCTATGACTACAATAACGATATATTTTTGTGGGTTTTGGCACAAGGGAAACCGGTAGCTTTCCGAAAAACGAAACTTTGTGAAAGCTATGTTAGCAAGCACGGCAAAGTCTCTGTGGATGACCTATTTGGAAACGAAAGCTTATTAAGAAATTTTCACGTTTTACCTCAAGAGCAATGCGAAGACCGATCACTCTTCTCTTCATACGCCAACCAAATTACAAACGAATCAAATCTCTCATCCTCGCGTCTTTCGTTAGATGAGGATAAAGTAATCACGGACTCTGAACTGCTAACACTTTTTCACGTTTACAATATGTTGATTGCTCCCGTACGTGATTTGCTAGAAGGATCTGAAATCATTGTTGTTCCCGATCGCTGCTTCTTCCAAGTTCCCTTTGCAGCATTACATGATGAAAGTAACCGCTATTTATCAGATTCTTTCAGGATACGCATTGTCCCTTCTTTGACGACTCTCAAGCTCATTCTGGACAGTCCAGCGCACTCTCACAGCGAAAAAGGTGCATTAATTGTGGGTGCGCCAAGTGTGACGGAAGTGTATTTCGAGGGAAAGTTAAGGTATCTCTGTCCATTGCCTGGCGCAAAAGCGGAAGCAGAGATGATTGTAATACTACTACCTAAATCTCACCTTTTAATAGGAGAGCGAGCAACAAAGCAGGCAGTTCTTCAGAGAATACAGTCAGTGAGTCTCCTGCATTTCGCTGCTCATGGTGATGCCGAAAGAGGAGAAATTGCTCTTACCCCCGCCGACTCCACAATGGGGACTCCACATGAAGCAGACTACTTACTGACCATGACCGACATTTCGCAAGTCAGACTGTCAGCCAAACTGGTGGTCCTTAGCTGTTGCCATACCGCACGTGGACAGATCAAAGCAGAAGGCGTTGTTGGAATCGCTCGAGCATTCTTAGGATCAGGTGCACGGTCAGTGTTGGTGGCATTGTGGGCCTTATTAGACAGAGCAACAGAGCAGTTCTTGAGAATATTCTACGAAAACCTTGTCCAAGGAGAAAGTGCAAGTGAATGTCTTCACCGGGCCATGAAGTGGATGCGAAATAACGGTTTCTCTGAAGTGAGGCAGTGGGCACCTTTCATGCTGATTGGGGATGACGTGTCATTTCACTTTGATGAAGAAAAGTGAAGGTAAATACTTTATGAAAATTAGGGCGATAGGAAGTCTGCCAGGTCTTCTTGTATTGCAGTTTTATCAACTGGGAACTTTTGGTACTTTTAAGTACCAAATAAATGGTAGTATTTACCCTTAAAAGCCACATTATTAACTACACCTGAAGTCAGCTTTTCCTATGACTGAAGTAGAATATCCATCAACCGCCTTTTTAACATCGAAGATACTAAACACCACAATGATTTGACCACACTTCTGTACTTATCAGTCTAATTTAAAACCCATGCATACGTGGGGCTTTGCATTAAAAAAAAGCCCCGTATATTGTGGACTGTGTATGGAGTCTTGACCGTAACTAGAGGGCTTTTCGCGGACACTGACTGAAGTACAGTGGTAAACTGGTTCTAAACGTGGACCAAAGAGGGAAGACCAAGATTCCAAAGGTTATCGAGGCAAGAAGTTTCAAACCTATTTTAGCTGCGCACCCTGCTTTTCATTTATAATGCGAATAACTGGAAAGTTTTAGCGGTGAGATAAAGTTAAATGCGAAAACCTTTTCCGTCACGATAAAGCCGGAGGATCCCCCTTCCATGTAAAATGAACCTAAATGCCACTTACCCCAGCTGGAGTCTTTTGTAATGAATATATGTGTTTTACCAATTTTTATGTTTCTTATACATTACTGTTGCAGGTATTACACTAACGAAACACCATGGAATAACGAAACAGCCGCTTCCGCAGAATCAATGAGGTAGTCCCTGGCGGAAAATGTAAAGGTCAACCTCTTCAGCATACGAACATAACCCAGACTAGAAGAATTAAAAGAGAACTGATTTGCTTGGCCCAGTTGTTCATCTTTGCCGGCTTAATTATTTTTCCCGCCGATTTTTATTTGTGTGTGTGTGTAGGTACATTGAGTATTCTAATCTCTAAAATGTCTGGCAAAAGCACCAATCACCAGCCTTGTAACAGTGTACATCGGTAGCTCTGACAATGATACAACTGTAATTGCGACGCGAATAACATCAGAATTAGATAATTTGCCTATCTATTTAGGTAACGTCTTAACTTACTTCCTTAATTGGCCCCTAAGGCTTCAACTAAAAAATAATTTTCACGTAAACGAGATTCTTAATCGCAAATTGAAGTTTAGTAGAATTGTATATATTTTAGAGCCAATCTTTCTCTGAACATAGAAGTAGTAGTTTTGCAACCTTGCATTATGAAATAAGGTTAAACGACTCAATTAAGTCAACTAAAAGCCTAGCGAAACCAATTTGTCCAGACTCCAAACTAGCCATTACAGTAGTAAACTAAAGGTTATTTTATGGTATAATGTTCATGCCTGAGCCTAGGTTACTGTGTTAGTATAGAAGAGTAGTACTTGTTTACGTATCCACCTAAAATGCCAAGATTTGGTGGTCCAGTTTTCAGTAGTACTTCGGGTAGGAAAACTAAGTTTAGTAGTTTGAACAACATGTCGCGTATCCGAGAAGGTCGCACATGGAAGTTTCACTGTAATCTGTATATAAAATGCCAAGATTCGGAGGTCCAGTTTTCAGTAGTACTTCGGGTAGGTAAACTAAGTTTAGTAGTTTGAACAACATGTCGCGTATCCGAGAAGGTCGCACATGGAAGTTTCATTGTAATCTGTATATAAAATGCCAAGATTTGATGGTCCAGTTTTCAGTAGTACTTCGAGTAGGAAAACTAAGTTTAGTTGTTTGAAAAACATGTCGCGTATCCGAGAAGGTCGCACATGGAGGTTTCATTGTAATCTGTATATAATTATGTAATCTCACCCGATTTTTAAAAATAAACTAGCAAATTCAACGCCGATACTTTATTGAGCCTTTCGTTGTTAAGACCTCTAGTAATTGTAATTGTAATTGTAAATATCTTATTATCCACTCCCCTCAGGGCTATTCAGGGATAATTTACAACACTGGTTGGGGGACTTTGTCAGACTGCTTAAGGTGCAGTTTACAAGTAATGAAGGAATGAGTTATGATGCCCCCATACATGAGTGTGAAAGTGAGATAGACCACTACACCTAGCCTGTGTACAGCCGCCCCTCACCTCAAAAAACTACTCTTTACGAAGAGTGTGTGGGTTCGTTAACGTCCCACAGATTTATTACATGTGCAAGGGCTTGTAAGACGGGACCTACGGTTTATCGTCCTTATCCGAGAAGACTAGAAAGTCAAACCCGCGTTTGCAGATGTTGTTACAAAGGCAGCACTTTCTCCCCAGTTATTTAAAGACCCTGAGCGTTGGTCCTGCCGGGGTTTGAACCTCCGGCCTCTTGCTCAGCAGACCGGCGCTTATCCCATTGAGCTAACCGGGCGGCGGTTATTGTTTATCCTTAATTATCTATTTGCTCTTTAACAAAAAAAATCCTATAATATCCGAGCGATTAAGGATCAGATTCACGTCAAACGGCAACGTCAATTTTCACGTGACCAAGGTATCAGTCTAAATTATAAACCAGAGGTTCTTTCGGCAAGTGCCAAAGAGGCGAATTCGTTTATCTTTTGTGGAATGCGCCTATCCAGATCTTCGCGATTTGTTACATAATTTTAGAGGTTAACAATAGATTTCGCTAAAGAAAAGGATGGCCCTAAACTTCAGAAAAAAAAACTTGGTACATTCTAGGCTTTCACTTCTATTAAAAAACAACAGCATGGCTTGAAGCTTTGTTGGAGCAAGTTAGCACTTATATTTTATGGAAATTCAAAACCATAAATGTTAGAAAGTGAAATTAAATTCCGAGCTTTCGCCGATCAACGGCATCATCAGAGAAAAAGAAGAATATTCTGCATGGCAATCAGTACATATGAAAAAATTGGTGTGAGCAAAATTTGTGAAAAGCGCAAGAATGGGGCGGAATGTATCTGGAGGTATAAAAATGTAAACTTGAATAAAATACAAAGATCTAATGAGTGTGTGGCACAGGACAAAGAGTCTCTCGAAAGTTAAAATGATTCATACGGATGGTCTTTAAAACAAAAGGTCCGCAAATTCGTTGCGTTCCTTATGGTAGTTTAGGGCTGTCTTCAATGTAAATCGAGCTGCAAAAGGACACGCTGGTTGACAAAAAAACTCTCCAAAGGCAAAAATTAAACAACTTCTAAAAAACAAAAGACCGGTCCTCAAATGCGTTGCCTTCCTCGCGGGAAATGAAGACCGCCTCAAAGTAAATGAAACTGCACAGAACATGCTGGTTCTGAGATTACAACCCTATTCCTTGATTAATTACCGGATAGAATTCAATTTACAAAGGAAAACATAATTCTGAAAACCCTGTTTCTGAGTCGAGAAGCGAACTCGCTACCTCAATGTAAATCGAGCTGCGAAGAATTGAACAAGCTGGTTTTGACAAAAATTGGAGCGTAAAAGCTCATCCCTTTATAGCTGCTGCTTTAAACGCAATTTATAAACCAAAACAGAGCACTAATGAGAGCACCTGCCCAAGTTGAGAGTGGAGTCCAAGTTCCTGAGATTTCAGAAAGACAGGTATGGAACTGTTTGCAACACCCGAAAAACCGGACCTCATACCGGAAATCAGCATAGATAATCATCCAGCTCTGTTTAAGAGTGCAGTTCACGATCGATCGATACGATCCAGGATAAACAAGTCGACGTAATTCGTCACCCATTATATTAATGGTAATCAAATGGTATACTCGTGAGATTAGGGAATAATTTCACTTGCGTTTTGTCCAAATCCTAATAATTTCCCGAGCCTTTAGTATCTGGACAAAACGCGCGTGAAATTATTCCCTAATTTCACTTCACTCGTCACCATTTGATTACACATACTAACTTGCGTTTGTACACCCCCATAGTAAGAGCTACTTCGGTTCCCACCGGGGGTGGATTTTCATTTTGGTCACTATTCAGATCTGGGTAGTACTTCTGATCGGTTGAAGCAAATTTTAACCAATCAGAAATACTACCCAGATCTGGGTAGTGACGCGCCCTTGGTATGGAATTTCTGCGCTCGTTTCTCAGACGTCATTTTGCGGGGAAACCAGTAATGGCGTCAGGAAATTTCGGTCGTTTTCTAAGGCTAAGCTGGGTCATTTACGAGTGGAGATGCCACACTTGATGCGCGTATCATGACAGAAAGGCTACGTACGCGTGGCAGAAATTAATGTGCAACGATGCTAAAGTATGGTGATTATTGGCCTTAACAGTGTGCACAAACCTTTTAACCAGGCGGGAATGAGGGAAGAAAAAAACCCCTTTAAAGCTTCTTCATTATAGGGTTAGATTTTTGCCAAGGTACTTAACCAGAAAACTAGGTTGAACACTGGCTTACAGGAGCTGTGGTACGTAATTTATTATAATTCAAACAGAGAGACCTGTCACCAAAGCGAATAAAATATAAAATGAAGCCTCAAAACACTAAGATAAGGTATGAAAACACAGCAATTCCAAAGGATCGGAGCTGTGGGAGCGAGCTGTGCGAACGAGATTTTCCCGTTATTGTTTGTTTAAGGTTCGAAGATCTTTATTTTAGCCGGAGCTTCTGAAAGCAAAGAGCTGCCATCTGGGAGAAGCACAGACGAGAAGAAGCTCCTCACTAAACACAAGTGAATTTTATTAGACATACCTAAACCTTGGAAAACAGCTATTTCCAGTCAGTGACACAGGCAACCCCAATAAAAAATCTGAGTTCTCCCAACAGGGATCATAAGTACGACTATCTGGTTACTAGACTTGCATACTGCTTTAGGACAGAAAAGTCTACTAGGTGGCTTGCTCGCAATGATATAAATATGGAGTTACGCTGGGTTATCAGTCACTGTTCAGGAAATGAGCCCCTCCCTCTCCTACCTCTCCTTCCTCTCGCAAAGGAACAAGCCAGGACCCTGGAGTGCTTATTGTGATGTCTCACAACTTCTTATTTGAACTATGAGAATACAAATCAAACCGACCATCAGTGAAGTGAATTAAGGGACTATTCATTATTTATGCCAGGGAGTGGGCTGGCAAGAATGAGGAGTGGGCCACGTCAAGTTCAGCAGGACAGTCAGAAAAGGGGGGGCTGTCATCAATAAATCTGCACACAGAGAGGGGGGAGGGCTACTTGATTTTTTATTTTTGTTTTAGTTTCAAACAAATACTTTCGGAGCTCTCGGGATTAACGTACATGGTTTGCAAGCCTCCTAAAGGCTAACAGTTCATGACTGGCACTTCAAAGCTAATAAAGAAAACAGTCACAATTTCTACGAAATGATAAGTCTCAATACTATGTCCAGAGGTCTTCCTCGTTAGTTTTGGTCCCTGAGGAGTTCCCACTACTGCAATGATCAACAACAAGGTCAAGCTCGCAATTACTTCTTTCAACAGAATTATCAGAAGACAATACTTCTTGCTCTTGCCTAGAGATGTTTGCGTCGATTTCTAAACTTGTTTGAAAGAAACGTGAGCGATGATTCGTTGGATTTTATCGTTCTTTTTATCTTGCCTTTTAGTGAAAGTTTAAAATGAAATAAATCCTTTTTTTACCTTTATCTGCTAGATTTCACCAGCGTGAAATAAAGTGTCCCGGTAAATCTACCCGGCTGTCTGACTTATACATTCTCTAGAGGATTGCCACTCGCTGGAAGTGAGTTTCACGGAAATCTATTCTTTTTAATGTTCTATAAGCTAAGCCTGCTGGTTCATTTTTTATCAATGCTTTATCTTTGATCAATACTCTTTACTCTGGAATGAAAAACAAACTCTCACTTGGTTTTCCGATTTTTGTTTTCAAGGAAAATTTGTACTCAGTCTCACTCGGCCGAATTTCTTAACTGGGGCGATCATGTAAACTCGGTTCCAGACCTCGCTGCCAGCCCCCCCTGGATAGAAGGTACCACAATGATGAGAGACGCAAACGTAGTCACTCTATGCAAAAACAGGAGGAGCAGAAGAGACTGCAATAATTATCAAGGCATCTCACTCCTCAGCATCGCTATGAAGCTCTTTGCTCGAGTCGTTCTGAAGGGTTTCCAAGTCCTTGCACAGAGATTTTATCCGGAGAAGATCACGTGATTTCCTTACCAACACTATTAGGTCTCATAGCTTGTTAGGCCCAGCAATCAATACGTTCAGTTTGGCGGAGGCTTCGCTGCAATGGCCACAAGCATTACCTTTAGTAGTTAAACCATCTTTTTGGAAACCACTTTCTAGCCGACCCAGTTTTATTTTTTTTGACCCAGTTTTTTTCCCTTTTTCGAGCAAAGCAGAGCCATTTAAGTTTACACAATCATATCACTTCAACAAAGCAACTCGCAATCCGTTGTCGGCGAGCTCTTCACATCCCGATGTCCTTCAATGAGGGCTTCCGTCTTTGCTTTGAACTATTTAAATGGGTGGTTCAAGGGAAGTAATTTCTTTAACAACTTGACTTACAACTGACTTTGAGCTGAGACGGCCTTACGAATGAGTTCTCCCTGCTAATAACGATCATTACGGTGGAATAAAGGAACATTTGATTTAAGCTCCTTCCGAATAGTTAAGGGTTACGTGTTGGTACGTGAAAAAAGAGCTGGCCCGGTTGTTCAAAGGGTGGATAGCGCTATCCACTGCATAAATCTCTATCCACAGGGATAATGCGATTGTTTTCTTCCGCTAGATAGTGGTTTATACAGTAGATGGCAACAACCAGGCCTCGTTTTTATATTAAACTTTTCCCTTAAATAAGCGATTTTGTAGACATTTACAAACAAACAATTTCGTCTCTGTGCGTAACAGTTACTTCACTTGAATATTTCAGGCAACCTAAGTTTAGGATGTGTACAAAGAACTGAATCACATTTTTCTAAATCATAAGACTAGACTAGTCAGTCGCTGTCAACTCGTGACGCAATTAGATACTTAATGCAGTTTTAACCCCCAATCACAAACTGAGTCCGAGGACCCTCAAGCGACGATGAAATGTGACCTTCATACAAGATATAACAATAAAGCAAATGTTTCCGGAAGTACTTAGCTCCTCGTGCGTTCAAACGAATTTATAGACTTAAGCGCCGATGCTTCCAAAGCGCGTAAAATCCTTGACGCTCCATTTTGGCTTCGTTTTCTTTAGCTTTACTTCCCGCTTTGGAGTTTATAACCTACTCTTTTCAACCAAATTAGTATAGGTAATAGCATGATTTGTAGTGATATTTGGCATAAATACCGCGAGTGATATTTCGAAATTGTTATACGTAATACGTAAATTTGAGATAGTTTTGAAATATCACGGGTGGTATTTATGCCAAATATCTAGTACAAATCATGCTATTATTTCTTTATACTACTGCCCGCAAAAGCTTTGTAATTTTCACACGTATTTTCACAGGTATTTCAAATTAAGCTGAAATACCACTGCTCTAAGCCAATCAAATTGCAGAAATTTCTCATGTAATAGTATAATCTATAGAAAGTTACTTCTTGCTTAGGCTTAATTGCAATGTATATATATATATATATATATATATATATATATATATATATATATATATATATATATATATGTATATATATATATTCCTATACATAATTCTTTGCATTCTACAAATAGGTCTTCTGTATAGTCTTCAATCATTATTACATGTAATCCTCATTGATCACTGAAGAACCCCATATGGATATGCATTCAATAAAATGTATGGATGTGTGTATGAATTATTATTGTATGTCACATGCCTCACACCTCCGACTCCGTTTCTGTCTCCCTCCCTTAGACAATTGTGTATACGACTCAAACCTTTAGACGTTCTTTTAAAATTCTACAAGAGAAGTTACCACGTTTTTTAAAAATGCAAACAAACCTCAAAACGGACGATTTCTTGTAAATACACTAAGACTGCAGACAGTGCAGATAGACGTTCTATAGACTTTGGTTTAAACAAACGATACTCATGATTATTTACTTCAACAAATTAACTGCTTTTAGTTGTCACTAGCTTTATTTTACCAATTCGCGTAACCGAAACCTTTGGTAAATGTGTATCCTGGGTAAGTCCATTTAACCTAAACAGAATGTTTCGTGGAATCAGCTACAATAGCATCAGCTTGATTTACACTTTTAAATGACACCCGACCAAATCACAGAGTCCTTAAAGGAAAAGCTTATTCAGTATGAAGAAAAACTTAAAGTTTTCTTAGCTATTTCATAAGCCAAAGGCTTATTATTATAACGGTTATAACTGGCCTCCTTATTTTTTTTAAGATTAGCTCTATTTCGTGGGACTTTTTGCTAATTATTCTGCACTTGTTTTTTATCTGTGTAAGATTCAGAAAAGAGCCACATGGTCAAGATTCAAGAAGCGATTTACCATGGCATGATTGCTGCAGATTTTCTCTATAAAACTAAACGAGTTTTCCAGGCTATCGAGCTGTGGAACGAGTGCTTAATACTCTTAAACAACAAAGCCTTACAAAACGAACATGAACTTGTTAGAAAAGGGAGTATAGCGCTGTAGAAAAGGCTGTTTAATGGATATACTGCTATTACAAAACTTTCGCCAGCAATAGAATCTGGCAGAAAGCTTTTAGTCCTACTTCGTAATTGTGATAGAAAAAAAAAAAAAGAAGGTAAGAGAGCCTTGAATTTATCAACACTGTACCACCAAAAAAGTGAATACAAGGAAGCACAAGCATACCTCGAAAGAGCACTCTGCGTTAACAAAGAAATCGAAGACAAAGGCGGAGAAGCGTCATGCTGCAGAAACCTAGGAGCTGTGTTTAAATCTGTTGGTCAATATGAAAAGGCTAAAGAATATCTTCATAAAGCGCTTACCATCAACACAGAAATTGGCGACAAACACGGAGAAGCGTCATGCTACGTAAACCTAGGAACTGTGTTTCGATCTGTCGGAGAATATGCCAAGGCTGAAGAATATCTTCATAAAGCACTTACCATCAACACAGAAATTGGCGACAAACACGAAGAAGCGTCATGCTACATAAACCTAGGAACTGTGTTTGAATCTGTCGGACAATATGCCAAGGCTGAAGAATATCTTCAAAAAGCACTTACCATAGAGACAGAACTTGGCCACAAAGACGGAGAAGCGTCATGCTACATAAACCTAGGAACTGTGTTTCGATCTGTCGGAGAATATGCCAAGGCTGGAAAATATCTTCATAAAGCACTTACCATCAAGACAGAAATTGGCGACAAACACGCAGAAGCGTCATGCTACAAAAAACTAGGAGATCGTTTTCAAGATGTCGGAGAATATGCCAAGGCTGAAGAATATCTACATAAAGCAATTACCATCAACACAGAAATTGGCGACAAACAAGCAGAAGCGTCATGCTACATAAACCTAGGAGCTGTGTTTGGATTTGTGGGAGAATATGCCAAGGCTGAAGAATACCTTTATAAAGCACTTACCATCAACACAGAAATTGGCAACAAACACGGAGAAGCGTCATGCTACATAAACCTAGGAACTGTGTTTCGATTTGTCGGAGAATATGCTAAGGCTGAAGAATATCTTCATAAAGCACTTACCATCAAGACAGATATTGTTGATAAAGAGAGAGAAGTGACATCCTACGGAAACCTAGAAATTGTTTTTCCAGATGTCAGAGAATACGCCAAGACTGAAGAATATCTTCATAAAGCACTTACCACCAACACAGAAATAGGCCACAAACACGGAGAAGCGTCATGCTACTTAAACCTAGGAAATGTGTTTGGATATGTCGGAGAATATGCCAAGGCTGAAGAATATCTTCATAAAGCACTTACCATCAACACAGAAATTGGCGACAAATACGGAGAAGCGTTATGCTACATAAACCTAGGAACTGTGTTTGGATCTGTCGGACAATATGCAAAGGCTGAAGAATATCTTCATAAAGCACTTACCATAAACACAGAAATTGGCGACAAACACGAAGAAGCGTCATGCTACATAAACCTAGGAGCTGTGTTTGGATCTGTCGGACAATACGCAAAGGCTGATGTATATCTTCATAAAGCACTTACCATCAAGACAGAAATTGGCGACAAACACGGAGAAGCGTCATGCTACATAAACCTGGGAACTGTGTTTGAATCTGTCGGAGAATATGCCAAGGCTGAAGAATATACTCATAAAGCACTTACCGTCAACACAGAAATTGGCGACAAACACGAAGAAGCGTCATGCTACATAAAACTAGGACTTGTGTTTAAGTCTGTCGGAGAATATGCCAAGGCTGAAGAATATCTTCAAAAAGCACTTACCATCGAGACAGAACTTGACCATAAAGACGGAGAAGCGTCATGCTACATAAACCTAGGAGCTTTGTTTGAATCTGTCGGAGAATATGCCAAGGCTGAAGAATATCTTCATAAAGCACTTACCATCAAGACAGAAATTGGCGACAAATACGGAGAAGCGTCATGCTACATAAACCTAGAAGCTGTGTTTGAATCTGTCGGAGAATATTCCAAGGCTGAAGAATATCTTTATAAAGCACTTACCATCAAGACAGAAATTGGCGACAAAGACGGAGAAGCGTCATGCTACATAAACCTAGGAGCTGTGTTTGGATCTGTCGGACAGTATGCAAAGGCTGAAGAATATCTTCAAAAAGCACTTACCATTGAGACAGAACTTGACCACAAACACGGAAAAGCGTCATGCTACATAAACCTAGGAGCTGTGTTTCGATCTTTCGGAAAATATGCCAAGGCTAAAGAATATCTTGATAAAGCGCTTACCATCATCACAGAAATTGGCGACAAACACGGAGAAGCGTCATGCTACGTAAACCTAGGAAATGTGTTTAAATCTGTCGGAGAATATGCCAAGGCTGAAGAATATCTTCATAAAGCACTTACCATCAACACAGAAATTGGCAACAAACACGGAGAAGCGTCATGCTACATAAACCTAGGAGAAGTGTTTCGATCTGTCGGAGGATATGCAAAGGCTGAAAAATATCTTTATAAAGCACTTACCATCAAGACAGAAATTGGCGACAAACACGGAGAAGCGTTATGCTACATAAACCTAGGGACTGTGTTTGAATATGTCGGAGAATATGCCAAGGCTGAAGAATATCTTCATAAAGCACTTACGATCAACACAGAAATTGGCGACAAAGACGGAGAAGCGTTATGCTTCATAAACCTAGGAACTGTGTTTGGATGTGTCGGACAATATGCAAAGGCTGAAGAATATCTTCATAAAGCACTTCCCATCAACACAGAAATTGGCAACAAACACGGAGAAGCGTCATGCTACATAAACCTAGGAGAAGTGTTTCGATCTGTCGGAGAATATGCCAAGGCTGAAGAACATCTTCATAAAGCACTTACTATCAACACAGAAATTGGCGACAAACACGGAGAAGCGTCATGCTACATAAACCTAGGAACTGTGTTCGAATCTGTCGGAGAATATGCCAAGGCTGAAGAAAATCTTCATAAAGCACTTACTATCAACACAGAAATTGGCGACAAACACGGAGAAGCGTCATGCTACATAAACCTAGGATTGGTGTTTGAATCTGTCAGGGAATATGCCAAGGCTGAAGAATATCTTTATAAAGCACTTACCATGATGACAAAAATCGGTGACAAAGACGGAAAAGCGTCATGCTACATAAATTTAGGACATCTAGTATTTAAAGTTGGCGAACGAGCGAAGGCTCAAAAATATTTTGAGAATGCTCTTCAAATTATCAGGGGGACTGGAAACATCGAAATGCAATTTCAAACTTTCCTTTATCTACATAAATGTTGTTTAAAAATAACAGGAAACACATCTGAAGCCTTATCGAATCTCCGGACAAGCATTCAAATTTGCGAAAAAATGCTTCTTTCTTTAGGAAGCAAAGATCGCCGCAAGATATTATTTTTTGACGAGCACGCGTCTCCCTATCGGCTATTTTGTTCATTGAGTTGTTCTTGTGGGAAACCGTATGAAGCCTTACACGTTGCTGAACTTGGACGGGCCAGAGCTCTAGCAGAACTTATGTCAAATCGGTACTCGATTAAAAAGGAAATATCCATCAACATACAATCGTTTGTTGACATCGAGGAAGTAATTACGAAAAATGGCAACAGCACCTGCCTATACATCTCCTATGACTACCATGGCAATATATTTCTGTGGGTTTTGACCCAAAAATACCCAGTAGCTTTCCGAAGAACGAAACTTTGTGACAGCTTTGTTAGCAAGCACGGAAAAATCTCTGTGGATGACCTATTTATTAACGGAATCTTATTAAGAAATTTTCACGTTTTACCTCAAGAGCAATGCGAAGACCGATCACTGTTCTCTTCATACGCCAACCAACTTACAAACGAATCAAATCTCTCATCCTTGCGTCCTGTTTTAGATGAGGAAGAAGTAATCACAGACCCTGAACTGCCAACACTTTTTCATGTTTACCGTATGTTGATTGCTCCTGTACGTGATTTGCTAGAAGGATCTGAAATCATTGTTGTTCCTGATCGCTGCTTCTTCCAAGTTCCCTTTGCAGCATTACATGATGAAAGTAAGCGCTATTTATCAGATTCTTTCAGGATACGCATTGTCCCTTCTTTGACGACTCTCAAGCTCATTATGGAAAGTCCAGCGGACTCTCACAGCGAAAAAGGTGCATTACTTGTGGGTGAGCCAAGTGTGAAGGATGTGTATTTCAAGGGAAAGTTAAGGTATCTCTGTCCATTGCCTGGCGCGAAAGAGGAAGCAGAGATGATTGCAAGCCTGTTACCTGAATCTCACCTTTTAATAGGAATGAAAGCAACAAAGCAAGCAGTTCTTCAGAGAATAGCCTCAGTGAGTCTCGTACATTTCGCTGCTCATGGTGATGCCGAAAGAGGAGAAATTGCTCTTAGCCCCCCTGACTCCACAATGGGGACTCCACATGAAGCAGACTACTTACTGACAATGACCGATATTTCACAAGTTAGACTGTCAGCCAAACTGGTGGTCCTTAGCTGTTGCCATACTGCACGTGGACAGATCAAAACAGAAGGCGTTGTTGGAATCGCTCGAGCATTCTTAGGATCAGGTGCACGCTCAGTGTTGGTGGCATTGTGGGCCTTACAAGACGGAGCAACAGAGCAGTTCATGAGAAGATTCTACGAAAACCTTGTCCAAGGAGAAAGTGCAAGTGAATGTCTTCACCGGGCCATGAAGTGGATGCGAAATAACGGTTTCTATGAAGTGAGGCAGTGGGCACCTTTCATGCTGATTGGGGATGATGTGTCATTTCACTTTGGTGAGGAAAAGTGA